CCAAAATCGATCAAAACCATGGGCTATAGTCCATGCTTTTTGCCTGAAAATGGCCCAAAATAACCTATTTTACATTCTTCATAAATAATGCATATTTTTTGAAAAGGTGTGAAAATGGCATAAAATGGATCAAAACCATGGGCTATAGTCCATGCTTTTTGCCTGAAAATGACCCATGACCTATTTTGCATTCTTCATAAATAATGCATATTTTTTCAAAAGGTGTGAAAATGGCCCAAAATCCATCAAAACCATGGGCTATAGTCCATGCTTTTTGCCTGAAAATGGCCCAAAATGACCTATTTTGCATTGTTCATAAATTATGCATATTTTTTCAAAAGGTGTAAAAAAGGACAAAAATCGATCAAAACCATGGGCTATAGTCCATGCTTTTTGCTCAAAAATGACCTATTTTGCAGTCGTCATAAATTATGCATCTTTTTTTAAAAGGTGTGAAAATGGCCCAAAATCGATCAAAACCATGGGCTATAGTCCATGCTTTTTGCTCAAAAATGACCTTTTTTGCATTGTTCATAAATTATGCATATTTTTTCAAAAGGTGTGAAAATTACCCAAAATCGACTAAAACCATAGGCTATAGTCTATGCTTTTTGCCTGAAAATGGCTCAAAATGACCTATTTTGCATTCTTCATAAATTATGCATATGTGAAAATGGCCCAAAATCGATCAAAACCATGGCCTATAGTCCATGCTATATTATTCTTCATAAATAATGCATATTTTTCAAAAGATGTGAAAATAGTCCAAAATCGATCAAAACCATGGGCTATAGTCCATGCTTTTTGCCTGAAAATGGCCCAAAATGACCTATTTGAAGAAGTCATGACATACATTGTTCAATAGACAATTTATGTATTTTTTATTATTTTATTAAACTTGTTACATTTAGTGATTGTCATCCGTCAAAAGAGGATTACCAACAGCACTGATACTTTATTTGTGAAGAATTTAAAAAATCACTTGCCCTCATTCAAATATTCAACATAAAAACCCTTTGATTGATATCAATAATAGTAATAATAATGTGTTTAATTGATGCTACGTGCGAATACATGTAACATTGAGTATCTAGACACCCATGAATGATTGAACAACAATGAGAGAAAAACTAAAAGAAAACCAAAGTGGTAAATTTGTTCCATTTTACAGTGGGAATGTTTTTCCATAAGGCCATGTGAGTGTAATTTCCTACTTAAATGGTTGTACATGAGAAGACACCTGAAGATCAAGAGAATGAAATGTGGTCTGAAATGGGAAAACATTAACATCCAAGGTAGAGAGGTCTATTAAGAGGGCAAAGTGAGTCACAATATTTTCAAAATATTATAGTGTTAACAGATCCTACTGCTTGTCCTACAAAGCTAACCACAGGGAGCCCATGCAACAAATAAATTAAACTTGATAAAATTATAAATTAATAAAAATAGCGCTGGCTATGCTCTTAATAGCACACTTTCAAGATGTTTCAGCAGGAAGCTAGGTGCTAAATCAAATTGTTTTCTCCTTTCACGAATCACCGAGCACTATGCCGAAGTCTCACATTGAATAAGTGAAGCTTATCTCAGAAGTGGGCTATCAAGTTTCATCTCTGTTTTGTAATAGATGTACATAAATAATTCATGGTTGGGCTCCCTGTGGTTAGAATTGTTACAAGCATGAACAGCCTTGGCAGGGGTGGATTTATTGGAGGGGGAGACTAAAGCAGCCTCACCCGGAATCCCTTTTTGCGTCAGGTATTCTCTTTTATGTAGAGGATATTACATGCTGGCGTCAAGATATGGGCCCAGTTGTACGAAGCCTGGATAGTGCTATCCGGCGGATAAATCCTTATCCAGTGGATAAGTCGATGCTGTTATCCAATGAATTTATCCACTGGATAAGATTTATCCGTTGGATAGTGCTATCCATGCATCGTACAAACGGGCCATGAAGTTCATCTTTGCGTGGTGAAATGTTTTTCAACATAAGATAAACTTCATCTTCAAGCAAAAGTGTAATTTTCTTTTTATTATATAGACACATTCACAAACAAACACTTGTTGCAATTAAACTTTAAAAAGTGAGCGTCATGTTTGAGGATATGGAAAATATGTCACCATGGTCCCAGATGTAGTTTGTATGAAAAATACGAGTGGCATATTTCCCAGTAAAACACTAATGTCTATATAATAAATAACGCAACGCTACCCAAAGTCATAGTGAGTTAGACACTATTTTGTCAGTACCACCCACCCCACCCCACCCCCAAATCCATCCCTGCTGTCAGTAGTTCTAGTATATACCAATGCTTTTAAAAGGTACATACATATTATCATTATTAATTATACCTGTTTTTACTTAGTTCGATCTTATTAACAAATATAGATTTGTCTTTGTACATTATCRTGAAAAACAATTGTTAGAATATACCTTATATGAAACCATTAAAAAAACAAGAGTACTTGTAATATTCTGTGGGTGATAAACATTTCCTACAAGAGAGCTAAAGAAAACAAAAATTTTCCCTAATTCACATAACCCTCCCCCCCCCCCCCCCCCACACCCCCCCACACCTAAGTTTTCCCACACGTTACTAAGCATGTAGGTTTTCTATGTTAGAGAAACAATGATTCTTAGGTATTGCATGCGATGAACACTAGAGATTGACATTGTGTAGTTCCAAAAATTATTCATACCCCCTCCCCCCAGGGAGGAATTTAAGACACCCTCCCCCCCAGGTAGGAATTTTTTTAAGACACTCCCCTACCCCCAGAAATTCCAATTTTCTTCCATACAAACTCTGTAATTTTCTTTCTCTGACCCCCCCACCCTTCAGAAATTCCAAATTCCTCTGTAGGGTGGGTATGGATAATTTCTGGAACTACACATTGGGGGATAACGAAAGCCTTCTTATAAAATACAATTATCTTATGACAAAGAGAAGTGGATTGCATTAAAACATTATAACAAAGATTTTCAAGGATGCATTACGCCACCCAGACATTTAAAAATGGACAATGAAGAAACTTTAACATTAATACTCGTACCTAATAATTTGAGGCCAAAATTGTTTAGTTATAGTGATGATGATGAAACAGTCATGTGACTGGAACACTCACGTGACTGACACACCTAACACTTTTATAATGTGATTCTGCCGTTTCCTCCTTCTGGCTTGTACAGTCCTTTTTATGTCAGGGCCTTTCCTGCTAAGTCCAGCTCAACATGGGTCCATCCCAGAAGGTCCCTGATGCATGAAGGCCCTTCGCAGCTAGGGACATAATTCAGTAGGTGTTGAATGGCATGTCAGGATATTGATCCACTGGATTAGTGGTATCTTTTCACTTTATATCTCAGAACCAAATATGCCGCCAGTCTTAAAGCCACAAAGAATAAAGCCAGCACAAAACAGTCAAAATAAATTTTAGCGCCTTCAAGATAAAATGCACTTTCTCTAACATCCATGGCATCCATGACGTCTTCACTGTTCTTAAAAATACATCTCTCCCCCTTATTACAGTGCAAGGGTCCTCTTTTGTTACCATATATAGCTACAACTGTCCCTTCCCAGCTATACCGCGCATACGATACATATGTTAGCCACTGCATGTAGTTAGGAATGGTATCAAAGTTCACAAAAAATCCACTGAATAGAAGCACTGGGATGCCAGTTACTGGAGCTACGTAAACTGCCGTCTGTTGAGAGAATATGTGAAATACATATCTGTAAGCTGAGATTACTATCCCTAGGGGGGAGGGGAGGGGGGAAAAGGAAGAGGAGGATTGGTAACAGGACTTACTGGTAGACTGGGCGCTACTGTTCCAATCAGTAAGCCAATGGACTGAGCAACCAGACATGTGAGTATCGTGATCGACACAAACTGTGTGTATCTTAATCCTTCATGTGGCTGTTCTGTCATGAAATATACTATTGTGCAGTAGATCAAAGGAAACAAGACCTGAAAAATAATAACAAAGAATACAACAGATCGGTAAGAGGTCTTTCTCATTAATATCTGAGGAACAACAAAGAACACAACACATCTTAATACTCATACTTATACCAAAGAAGCAAYGACATGCAAACAACACCATATAAGGCAAAGGGAAAAATTTCGTACCCGAGCTAGACCACAATGCACTATGTTCACTATCTAAAAAATGGCCTAAGTAGGTGCTTCTAAGATCATCCACCCATTAAAGAGATTGGAAAACGATGTAAGTGAATGGCACTTACCTGGAAGGGTACGTCTGCCATAGTTTTTGCCAAATAATAAGACTTTAAACTGTACCAGTTATTCAGATGTTCTCTTATAAACACCAGCTTCTCCATTGGAACTGAAACGTAGCATAACATATAATAGATTATGTAAGATACTATGTTGAACAGCCGTGATTGTGTGCCTGGAGGCAAATCTCATTCCTCTAGCTGGATTTCTGCTGGTTTTTTATTGCTACTGACTGAGAACAATGGAGGCTCTAGGAACAACAATGATCTTGATTCGTTTACATATGCATTAACTGGCAAACAGATGGCGTTCACATGTCGCGCATGCATCGCATAAGCATGATTTGTTCGCAGTGCATCATATAAGCGTGATTTGTGCRCAGTGCATGTGCTGGGTCTTTTCTATTTACAGATTCACCAAATAGATGAGAAAGGAAAAGCACTCAAAGTCCCCTACATCCAACCCCTACTAAAGTCTGTTTTTTTTGCCAATTCCCTCAACGCTGACTGAGTAACACAGCCTCTTCATGATTACATTATTGCCCGTGCGCACCTTTGTGCATAAATCCGTGCAGGCGAGTTTGTTCAAGGTGTGCCCACTCTATCGATGAATCAATATATTGTGCCGATATACCCCAATCTCCCCTAAAACCCAACCCAAAGATCATTGGGGACTGCTACACAGGCTACATTGTCACAAATGCGCTCTATTTAGGCTATTTTTGATTCAATCTCATCCCAAAGTTTGCGCTTTCTTTTTACTCGTTTACAGGCGCTCAAGGGAAGGAACGCATCCTACGCAGATCCTATTTTTCGCGTCGTCACGTAACATTTCTCTTCAACTAAGGAAAGAAACGTTGTGTGACAGCCCTAACAACGTCCGCACGGAAAGCTGGGTTTTGAGCTACTCACATGTAAGAACAGTAGGCATGAGTGACGTGAACATGAGAAAAAGTAGGGAGAAGAAGAGACATCCAGTGTTATTGAAGACTTTGTTGCCATCGTTACCAATACCAAGATACAGCAAGCCAATCAGAAGACCCACTGCTGCTATGGATATAATTCGTAGGTGAGTGAAGACTCGGTCTCGTAGAATCGACTGGACTGCTCGCTTGAACAGCACTACGAACTGAAGATGAAACATAGTAAGATATGCTTTAGGAACGTCATGATGGTGAGATGATCGATAATCAACGTTGATAACCATGATTGTGATGCTGGTGTAACGATCGTAATGATGATAATAATGATGATGATAATGTTGATAATGATGGTGATGGTGATGACGATGAATGTTGATGACAAAGGTAATAACGATGAAGGTGATGGCTAAAGCGATAATGCCGATGGCTATGATTATGATTGTGATGATGATGATGATAATGATAATGATGATGGTGATGATAATAATATGATTGTAATGATGAAGTTTATTGTGATAACTATAACAATAATAATGATGACAATATTGCTTGAAACCAACCAGATATTAAAGATCTTTAGCACGTCGTTCTTGCTAGGTACCGCAAACCGTAAACTGCAGTTCGACGTCAGGCGTTTTCTGTCAAACTTTCAACATTTAACGAGGCGTCATAACGAAGTTGTTGCTGGAAGAGCCGCCATATTGATTTTCATTGATGCTGAGTGTTTCTCCGTGTTTGCGGGCGTCTTTTTGGACCTGATCCCTAGCGGTTAGCGGTAAACCTGATGTTAAAGGTCTCTAACTATATCTCACCTGCGTAGTTTGACTAACAGCTTCGATAAGCCCTAGACTGTCAGTACTAGTCTTAGTACTAACACTACAGTCCGGTAGCATCTGGACCATGGAATCCTTTCCATTACTACTACACGTGTTATTAGTGTTCTCAGGGGTGTAGGTAAGACTCTTCTTCCTACGCAACTCATCTACGTGTATTCTCCATGCTTTAATGAGGTTTGGGATGACTTTATCACCGTATTCGCCGGAAGCAGCCTCGATTACTATAGATCCCAAACACAGAACATGCATCAATAAGGCAGAATAGGAAAGCATTTAGCATTGAAGGGACATTTTGTTGACGTCTGACGTCAAAATACTATTTGTGGCGACGGCAAATTGTGCGAATTGTGTTATTGCGAACGACTGTAAGATATAAAAAAGGTTTTTGAAAAGTTTATCTCTTACTGAAATCAGCAGGGTTGTGGTACTTGGGGCATTCGAGTCCCTGCGCGGAAACGTGTGGAACCAGACCATTGACGGGGCCTTCATATAAACAGTTGCCCTCAGCCAAGATGTACAACTACAGTAATAAAGAAAAGAAATAATTAATTGATTGAATGAAATGAAAGTAATAAATATGGGATAGGATGGGATGGATACATGGATGGATTACAGGAACAAGATGGGATAAGACGGGATGGATGGAAGGGAATTTTTGTGACGGTATGGTATACGGATACACGGATTGATTGAAAGAATGGGATGGAGGATAAAATAAAATAAATGAATGGATGGGATACAATGGGATGGATGGAAAAGATGGAAGTAATGGATGGATGGGATAGGATGGGATGGGATAGGATGGAATGGGATGGGCTGGGATGGAATGAGATGGAATGGGATGGGATAGGATGGAATAGGATGGGATGGGATGGATGGATGGATGAATCGAATCTAATCGAATCGAAACGAATCGAAACGAATCGAAACGAATCGGATCGAATCGAATCGATAACGTACCTTGTCAAACATTTCAAAGAGCTTTGCGCTGGGCTGGTGGATTGTACAAACTACTGTTCGACCGCCATGAGCGAGTGTTCTCATTAGAGATATACATTGATAAGCAGACGAGCTGTCAAGACCACTAAAAGAAAAATATCAYAATATTATTAATAACTTGCTCTAGGTAAAACCATTGAATAGAGCAGTTTTAGTATGAGTGGGAAACTTACGGTACTGACTTACAGCACGTACACGGTACGACATGCCATAACACTGAAATGGCTTCCCATAAGAATGGTTAACGTATGAGTGGGAAACGTACGGTACTGACTGACACCACGTACACGGTACAACATACCGTGACATCGAAATGATGGCTTCCATCTGTTGTATCCCTGAACCCAGTAACGTGAAGCACCTTTTAAACTGTAGAACAATCTCCTTTTATTCGGACTCACTAACTCGACATGCCATGTGTTCTGGCTCGCATCTAATGCGTATGTTACACAGGAATCCCACTATGTATACGACACCATCCAATCACAACCTGTAGTTACGGATACGGTACGACTAGAATACGGCTACGGATATTCCCTTTCGTTTCTCGCTCGCACGAGAAAACTAATCTTTGTGTTATTACTGCAGTTTTTGATATTCTGCGAACTGGGTAGTTACAAGCTGCACGCTGAATATTGGTTTTTTCGCAGCCGTCAATCAAACTAATAATCAGTGAAAAGCCATTTCACAGCAAGCCGTTGGAATGTCTGAGTTCCCAGAATATGGAAAACCGTAGTAATTAGCATGAAATTTAGGCAACTTTTGCTTTCATTTTTTGTTTTATTGTATTTACCTGGTTGGTTCATCAAGGAAAATTAACGGGGGATTATTGACGAGCTCCAGCGCGATGGCTACTCTTTTTCTCTGTCCACCTGATACTTCACTAAGCCGCGTGTCTGCTGTCTCCAGGAGACCAAGGTTGATCAGGATTTCTTTGATCTAAAACAAAACGGGAACTTGATTTTAGATCGGAGATGAACCACAGGTAGCCCAATTTAGATATTAAGGAAACTAGTAGCTTACCACTCTTTCTTTATCTTCAAGAGGCATACTTTCTCGTAGATGAAGATTTGCAGAAACCTGAAATGAATTAAAGTTAATTTAATTTCCTTGCGTGATAGAAAATAGACCGTTCCCTAAAAAGAGCCAATAAACGGCGTTCCTGCAACAATTACCCACAATTCCTTGCATTTTTAAAGGGACAGAGCAGGAACTGGAGCGAGTCTATCGCTAATCACTCCACGAATCAGATGGTTATCAGCCATTCCCTTGACAGACAAAACACAGAGACATGCCGGCCATACTAGGAATTCATCGATAAYACTACCCACAATACCTTGCTCTTTTAAGCAATCTTGAGCTCAGAATCTTACGGCTTTTTGGTCAGCGCCCAAGCGCCCTGGTCTTATCTGACGACAAAGCAGGAAGGCGCTGAAGGACTCTGGGTATACTAGATTGTATTTTAAGAGATAGAGTCCAAATTTCCAAAATTCCCTGTCTTTTGAAACAGATAGGGGAGGTATGGGACGAGCCTGCCCTTACTGGTACGAATCTTACCATCATGGACTCCATGACTGTCAGGTGTGGTAACAACACGTCATCCTGCATAATGTAACAGGACATCTTACGAAACTGACGTAGGTTCCTCTCGTTGCCATTCACGGTGATTGAACCGTCCGCGAATTTCGTCCTGGAAGATCAAACGTAGGTCGTCATAATTATTAGCTATACTTCTTCGTTTCCTGTCCCTAACGGTGCGCCTACAATTTCTTGTCTAGCGAACATATGAAATTTTATGCGAGTAAAGAATAACACGCCAGCACTGATATAGAATGGTTTTCGTATGAGTGTGAAACAATACGGGAAATTGGTAGCCCTCCGGTAGCCTTACCGTGTATTAACGTAGCCGTAACTACGCGTTGTGATTGGGTAAATTACTGTTCGATGTTACGGCATGCCGTACCGTGAAAGTGCTGTAAGTCAGTATCGTATGTTTCCCACTCATACGCCATAAAACCATTCTTATGGAAAGCTATTTCATTGTTGCGGCATGTCGTACCATGTACGTGCTGTAAGTCAGTACCGTATGTTTCCCACTCATACGATAACCATTCTTATGGAAAGCCATTTCAGTGTTATGGCATGTGGTACGAATTTAAAAACACTTGTCATACCTGTAACCAGCCAGTATGTTTATGAGCGTAGACTTGCCTGCACCTAAATAAATTAATAAGTTCACAATCAGAAATAATCAGAGTTACGTCTGGACAAGAACCTCAGAACCGCGAGACTTGTCTGCTTGTTTACTTGTTATCTTACGAGATCAATTAACAGTTCCCAAACTAGTTTTTTTAACCTTTTTATTGGCTGGTGGTTAATCTGCATACGATAGCATCTATAGGTAAGCCGATCAATCCCCTTATGAATAACGATACGTCTCCTCCACTCAATCTACTATTCTTTGTGGGTCACATGTTTACACAGCTTTACAAATTACCGACTGCTTAAATGAATCATTCATGACTAGAGCTCATGACTTGTGAGAGAGCATAGAGCTTTTCTAAGTTCAATAAACAGGTTCAATAAACAGGATGATGCACTATGGTCTAGCTTGGGTACAAGCAACACCATATAAGGCATGATGAACAAAAGATGTTTGTACCCAAGCAAGACCACAATGCACCATGTTCTCTACGTCAGAAAAGGTATACTATATATACAGGCACTAGCCATGGGGTATGTATATACCGCAAAGTATAGGTCGCACATTCAATACCACAACAAAGTGCTTAGCAATGGGCTATTGACTCATAGCCCATTGGGACAAGAGGACTAATCCAACGATTTTATAGATGCAAACAAGTTTTGAATTGAAGATAAATTTAATGTTTTGGTTTTCGAAGTTGGCTCTTTTCACTACTAGTAGGCTATAACTAGTAGTAGCTCATCCAATCAGAATGCAGCATTGATGATAGACCACAAGATAGATTTGACTTATATGAGTTAGTTGATACTATTGAATGTTGAACCATGATTATTACCTGAAGGACCGAGAACACCGACCAGTTGACCACTGTCGAACTTGCCTGAGACATCTTTAATGATTTCTTTGTAGTCTAAAAAGTAATAATAATAGGGGGGRAAATCTTATCCAATGAACCACTCTCGGTCAAAATATCGAAGTCTATCGTACTTTCACTTCCGGTCAAAAAATGGCAGCTATTGTACTTTTACTTCCGGTCAAAAAGTTTGAATCTTTTGTATTTTAATTTCCGGTCAAAACATCTGGTTCTAATGCACTTTTAATCAACATGAAGCGACGGACATACTGTAGCACTCGGGGGCGTACAGTAATTGATATCCAATTATTAGTCACGTTGATGAAATGTTATGTGTTCGTAGCAGTGTTATAAATAGTTAAAATGTTTAGACCGATCAAGGTCAGGTTAAACGAGGCTTGACATGTTATACTATTCGATCTGTACGTTTTATTACTTTGATGAACTTGTTCTAACCCGTTCGTTACCTCCGAGGTTACGTTGTCCGTAGTAAACATGTAAACATGTATTACAAGTGTCTGTTATGATAGGATGTCCGCATTAAACAGGTTAAACATGCAGCAAGTGCTTAAGATGAACGCTAAATTCCAATATCTAATAAGCCTGCGTAGCGGCTCTCTACCCCCCCCCCCCCTTCACCCCTAACTCCTCGCAAAAAAAGAAAGAGAGGCCCGCTACGCAGGCTTTTGTCCTGATGTATGGTATCGATAAATTTGATATTTGGTTTGAATTGATATTAATCGATGCTGCTGTGATATTTTTTCTTCGTAATGTATCCTCTTCTGAAACCAGGTTAAAAGTCATACTAAAGGAAATTAAGGTTGCAAAACAATAGTTGCTGGATCACTAATCCTTAATGATGACACGTACGATTGAGATCATATAGAGCGGTGAAATCTCGCACCAACAGGGAAACCTCACGTTACCGTGATGGAAACATTTTCGTTGGATGAACAGTGATGATGGCGATGATGAAAATAGTGATGATCATGATAAGGATTATGTTAAAGATTAATGTGATGGCGGTGATGATGATGGTGATAATGTTAATGATGATGGTGATAGTGGAGGTGGTGGTCAGTAGTGTCGATAATGATGATTTTTTGGTGATGGCAGTGGCAGTGATGATAGTGATGATGGTTATGATGATGATACTGGTGGTGGTGGTAGTAGTGATGATGATGATGATGATGGTAGTGATGATGATGATGATGATATTGATGATGKTGRTGGTGGTGGTGGTAGTGATGATGATGATGATGGTGATATTGATGATTATGTTGGTGATGATGGTAGTGATAGTAGTGGTGGTGGTGATGGTGGTGGTGGTAGTGATGATGATGTTGATGTTGATGATGCTGATGATGATGGTGGTAGTGATAGTAGTGGTGTAAATGATGATGATGATGACACTGGTGATGGTGGTAGTGATAGTAGTAGTGATAGTGATAATGATGATGATGGTGGATGTGCTCCGTAATCATGTCTCATCTTTTTCTAGTGTCGTGTAAACAACCAGCCGCTTGACCTTCGAACACCCTGCATCAATCATTTCAATTGCTCTAAACGACTATTTTGAGAAACCTGCAACTGAAAATCTCGTCGAATTAATTTTTAGAATTGCAAGCACGAAAAACGTCTAAGAAATCTTCAGTAATTCAAATCAACAGGCGTCAATCATCAAGGAAATAAGTCGTACGTTGTAATAACGTTTCACATAACATGTTAATGCGATGTTTATTGAACTATCTACAATGTACTGACGCCTATATTTAAAGGATTAACTGCATCAAACTGGGCCAGCGTTAAATCAAATCTACGTGCATGAACAACACACACCGACATACGTTAGATATGCGTGCGTTCTTATAGAGTTTTGTAGCAGATGATTCCTGATCTGTGTTCGGTATGCAGAAACAAGGGCAACACTTTAAATCACCCACCAGGAGACGGGTTAATGACACCCAAGTTGTGTAATCCGTTATGTTTAGTCTACAGGATGTATAGTGGACCTTGGACCCAGCACGTGGAATCACACCACTTTGGAGGTCATCAGAGGACCAGAGTAATCTTTGCAACATCATGATAATTGAGAGGGGAGGGGGTTGCAGGAATTTCTGTTGCACGATATTTATTTTTTGTAACACCATCTTGCAGGCTTTGTTTTTGCATTTGCTCGATATTTTTACCGAAAGCAGAATTGRGCGACATTTCTATGGTAGGTGAAGTGCTTGCTCGATTTTTTTGGGGGGATGTACGAAACCACCCCTTCCCCTCCCTCCTCAATTATCTAATGCTCCGTCGCTTAAAACTGCAGCATCATCGATGCAAAAAGAATGTTTTGCTTTAAACTCCAAATCGAAAACACTTAGATTTTCATCGAAGCCACATGCCGACTAACAATGCATGGAGTTAAAACCATATTTAGTGGATATCATTGTACTAATTTAGTTTCTGATTGTTGTACATATACGTACGTGCTATAAAAAGATTTCTTATTAATTAATCGTGCATCGTGCAATCATTGAACATAACCATTGACAATAGATTTTTATTGCGCAAGTATATTACTTAATCCATCATCAAGATTTAATAAAAGTACAAACAACTAAAACATCTCATCAGAAAATTAGAATCCGCTCGACGCTCTTACATAATTCTTCACAAAAGAATGCATTGCAAATCTAGAAGTACTTTAAGGATTTGAATGAACTGCAAACAAATGCTGCTTCACTAAGAAGTATTTTTGACTTCTGTTTACGAAGGAATTACGTATTTACGTATATTAGTATTACACAAAGCTTGCAAAGATTTGTTTTTCGGCGAGCTTTCAAGCTGCTTTCCTTTGGCTCTTATTTTAAATAACAAAAACAACGTACTGGTCAACTTTCTCATCAGTAACGAAAGAGAAACAGAAAGCTAGAGGCTAAGACGGACAAGTCAAAATAATAAAGCAATAACAAACAAATCGGGAATGTTCAGTAGCAATGATGCGCAAAAAGTCAAAGAGAATACACGATATTTGATATTATTGGCCCAAGTGTTGAGCAAATAAATGAATGACAGTACAGAACTGAACTCCTTTTAAGAAATGCAGTCGCCACCATCAAAACTCCACAGATATTTAGAAAATGAACTTTCGAGAGTGTATGGGTCTTTTCTAGCATTTCTAATTATACCTTTGTTTTTGATTCCGTCAAAAAATACTTTACGGATTCACGTCTGGACTTGAAAGTTAAAAAAAATTTTTTTGCTTGGAAGATTTCAATCCGGACATGTATAAAGTGGATTCTTCATTCTTTGTCTTTGAACAAATGTTTGAATTGTCCTAAAGTCAATAACGATTCGTCTCTGTAGATATGTCGAACACAGAGTCAATTCGAACTGGGTGGTAAAAGATGTTGTTCTCAGCACATTTGGGAAAGAAAACCATGACATAAACATAACCTTGATTGGGTTAAATTTTCGGACTGACTTTTGATTGAAAAAAAAAATGACGAATTTAATAAAACAGTGATCTCGTGTAATATTATACAAATTAGATATCAAGTCTGACACATTAAACATGTAAAATTTACATTCCACTCATTGAATTTCATACGAACACGTCTTGAAAAAGTACATTTCATTTTTTTTAGTTTCTTTCCGTAGTCTTCGCCTAACAAAACAATTGAAATTACGATCTTGATAAGAACTAGAGACGGGCAGAGAACGAATAACTGAGGCTTGAAAATTTTCCAAAAGATTGAAAGCAGACTCTATTGTCTCAACAATTGTACAAAAATTAAAAGAAATAATATTTTGGGCAAGATTATCACCTCGAAACAAGCTTGAAAATGCTGGCCTTTTTCCAAGAAAGGGGAAAATTCTTTTGATACAGGCACGAGTTGATTACCATATCTTTCACATTTTTAAAAGCGTGTTTGTCTCGAACTGGCAAGGAATCGAAACCCAAAACGAGCTCAAATTATTAAGAACTTTTGAGAAATTTTTGATCAAAATCATCTTATTTTTTAAAAGCAGAATATAGTCAGTATACTCTGGAAATGCTTATACGTTTGTACGTACAGGTTCAAGCTGCGTGAATCCTTCCTAAACCGCATGCAAAAATAAATAAATACAAGATAGAAGAACTCTAATAATATACTGTAGTCGGTGCTTATTATTCGCGACGAAGATACAAGATACAGAGGCAATTGCCTTTATTATCGGTTCTTCGGGTAATATTTTCTCGTACTTGAATAATTTTTTTTTCAATATCACCAATATTAACTAGAATTAATACTTCACACGGATTTTTATCATTAATAATAATAATAATAAAATCTGTCTCTGAATATTATCTAAACTACCGATACGTATGCTTATTATGAACACAACCAACAGAAGTTTTTGCCTCATTTTATAGTGTATACAGTTATTTTACAGCAACAATTATTGCGAGAAACAAAAGTAATTTTGGATAAAGGAAAGGAAGATAATAAAAAAGATTTTTTTATGTTGTAATAGATTTTTTTCTCAAAGGAAAAATCACATTGAATCCCCAGCAAACACGCTTCGAAAACGTTTTTCCCGTTCGATGTGAACACGTTGCAAAAAATTATCCGATATCAAAAAATATTAAGGAGAGGAGATTTAATGAATTATCACTTTAAGGTTTTTTTTTTCAAAAGCCAAAAAAAATCTAAAAAATGAAAACATATGACTTCAACAATTTTTCTTACAGGCTTCGAAGGTCTGATAAGGCAACCATTATTTTTACCTTATTACACGCACTACGAAGCAGGTACCATGGAGTACAACAACACGAATTTAAAATCTCCCTGGAATAAATTTTACATTTTTACTGAATAAAATCACTCACCTTTTCTTCCTAACTTGATTCGATAGCTCACATCTATAAATTCCAAGTCTACTTTCTGTCTCGGCCGCTGCCAAAAGCTCAACTGTTCCACGTATTCGCCAGCTTCAAGCATGGTACACGACTTGGAGCTGTCCACCGAGGTTGTTTCATCTCCCCCACAACACTTTATAGCCGTCGTCTTGTAGCTCTCTGCTCTAGAGGAGAGGAAATTCTCCATCGATATGGATTATTTCCTGCGTGGAAGAGTTTTTCCCCGGCGTTCTTCACACTGTTTCGCTCAGCGCTGGTTTGTTTTGTCGCTCGAATTTGGTCATGTGAGTCTTTGTCTTCGTCGTATCAAAGTCCGATTTATTATTCAAAGCTAATGAATAATTCAACACTGAGAGAGAGGTGAAAGCCGTGAAAGAACTAGATGTATTAAAACTGTGGTGTACCAGCCAGCAGGTCACAGAAGCCACTGAAAATGTCGAGTCAATGTCACTCGGGGAAAATCTGCTTGAATAAAATTTGATCCTTTTATTCAATTATCGGCCTCGCCTGTCATTGATCCCGTTGTGCCAAGGATGGTGAAACAATCTCCGGGAATCTTTTGAGCTTTCTCCGGACTTCTTAAGTTTGATGTTTTGGCTATTCCTTCGTCATTGACAGTACAGATAGACTGATATGTTCGCCTTTGAGGTGACCTTCGGTATAAAAATGTCCAAAAACTTGCAACCTTTGGAGCTTTGTTTGGGCAAGAACGCTYGTAACACAAAACCGGAAATACTCTTTAACTAGTACCCAATACACCTCTTTTCAATTTTCGAAAATTCCTGACATCATTCTTGCCTAACTTCTTTTAATATATTTGTACAATTAATCATCAAATCACAATTCAGTTCAATTAAATTTCAAACAATTTTTCTTTTAAATTTGTTTGTATTTATTCGGCTCAAATTGAAGATGTCCAACCTGAACCAGCATTTTATGACCGGAAGTAAAATATCATTCTATTTATCGTAACAATAGATACTTACTTACTTACTTACTTCAGCTGATAACCTGAAATTAAGCTTGAAATTTGAATTGAAAAAATATTTTAAATGAAGGGGATTAAATACAAACTTTTTTTGGTGATTTTATAGGAATATTTTTTAAAGGCTGGGAGCAGACGTGACATACCCTCGGCACAGACAGATAACTGGTCAACAAGGTGGTCTTGGGAGGTCTCGGACCAGGTCTAGGGCTAAATGAGAATTAACCGCACTATCCATGGTCATACTTTTACGCCAGGAAAATAATAATCAATGGTCAAAGATCTCAAGCCCTGACTGGAAATTAGATAACTTTTATATAAATAGAATCGCCAACATGTAAAAAATGTATTCATGATTTAGCTAGCGCTGGGAATTGCAAAAATGTTTTCGTAAAGTGAGATTGAATTTGCTATCTCGTGGTTTAGGGTACTGATAAAATTCACATAACTTATTCTCTCGCCCAGTGAGGAATTAAGAAAATATTTGTTCTACATACACAAGCTATTGATGAAAGACCTTCGTTGTTGAATTATTATTCCAAGGTACGTGTGAATTGCACAACTATTCTTTGCGAGACTTGTGATGACGTCATTCCTGGTAGGATCGCATGCAACGCCTGAATTAAATCTCGTATTACAAGAACAAAAGATCTACTGCACGGAAAAAATAGCTATGATAAGACAATAGGTTTATTGCGCAAAAAAATCGCAAAACTTAAATTCATTAATTAAGTCAGTACAATCCAGGATTTCTCAAGTAGTTTTCAGAAAATAATACAGTTTATCATCGCGAGAAAGTAGATTTTGGTGTACGTCAAGAGGTTTCCATGTTACTCCATACTGCGTACCCTTAGAAACTTTTTCCTGACATCGGAACACTTTGACAGACATCCATCGAAACYCCTAGTCCTTCGCTACGCATTAAAATCAAGTTAGACAGAAAACAAATGGGCCGGACTTGAGATGGTTTTCGACTCAGACAGGTATTTCCACCTATTCTCTTCATTTGTGTATTCCTAATCTGAGCCTTAACATTAGGTGAGATATCATAGCTCTGTTTTATCATCTAGTCCGGTTATGCGTCAGCGAAACTGGTCTTTCTCGTCTAAGTCTGGATTGTTTATTTTTCGTATTTCTCAGGTGACCAAAAATAAAAAATACTCAGAACTAAAAAAACATCAAGAACGAAGAATAAACACACAATAATAGATACTGCGCGACAAGAGCAAGCCTGCAATGTCACTGTACGTGAACAGGTACGGATAAGTTAAACAAGATGACAKTATGAAAACTATAAAAATCGAGGGCTCTCGCACTAGCAAGTTTGAACTCGTGCCGTCACATACGCCGTGCTTTTTTGTTTTTTTGACCCCAAATGAGATGAACTCGACATCGCAATGATCTATTATCTTTCTTTTTTTTTAATGTTAGAGCTTTTTGAAAACTATAAAAATCGAGGACTCTCGCACTAGCAGGTTTGAACTCGTGCCGTCACATACGCCGTGCTTTTTTGTTTTTGCTTTTTTGACCCCAAATGAGATGAACTCGACATCGCAATGATCTATTATCTTTCTTTTTCTTTAATGTTAGAGCTTTTTGGTCAGCGGTTTGGTGGGACACCCGCAGACCAAAAATCTGGCAGGCGCTATGATTAAGATACGTCATCGATTTCATTTTCAAGTTCATTTAATAAAGAAATAAAAATCAATAAAAATCAACGTAAAACAAAAAACTCTGATGAACATAAACAGTGATTAATTTATTTGAATCATTAAAAATTTTTCATCTATAAAAACAACGATAAAATGAAATTTACTATCTCAAAATAATGTCTGGTGATATACTTTTAATTTAAAACAATTAATAGCATGCATAATGCCTGATATATATATTTATATACAACATGTAGATATATTTGATATATCTACTCATACATGTACAGCTTCTTATATCACATGATAGTCTAGACATTGCCAACCTCTACTACTGTTATCRACTGGTAGAGGGGTCAATATCATGACTAATTAACCCCAATGATTTATACACCTCAATACATACTCTACACATTGCGACTCCTTTACAATTATACCATCTCACGTACTATCAAAGTCGCTTATAAATTACTGCTAAACCAGGGCTTACAATAACGACGGGTCAGTTGTCAGCCATGTTCACAGGCCAAATTAGTTTGAGCTCGGTCATACCTCGTTTGTGGCTTGGCTCAACGTTACTGGTCAAAACGACAGCCAGGGCAAACATTTGACCAGACAAGTTCCAATTACTTGGGCTGGACATTGTCTGATAACTGGTCGTTATCTTCAGCCCTGTAAACTGTAAAAACTTAAACTTTACTTCATGTTTTTTTTAACACCAACTAATAATGTTATTAATTATGGGAATATTAAGGTGTAAAATATAACCATACCCCTCAAGGGAATGGTTTGGAGGGATGAAATATAGAAAACTTAGGAAATAGTTAGCCCAGTCTCTCTCTTCATGGTGTGGCAGAAAAGGGTATGGAAATCAGCATATTTCAGACCAACACATTAATAGCAAAATGTCTTTTACAGTATATAACTTAAGATTAATCAAAGCTTTCCTATATATAATTCCAAAAACATTTCTAATCTGTTCCTACTTCAAAGCTACCTCAACCCAATATCTTCAGGATGGATTTTTTTCTACCAGATCAAATATTAAAAGTTAAATCTTTTTTTTTTCCTCTTATAAAGTAGCCATTTCATGGGGAAAGTTTTAAGATCATATGGATTCAGCCACAATATAGGCACAAAGAATAAAAATTAAACTTGTTAAAAAAGTTTAAAAGTAATCCTAAGAAGAGGTAATGAGAACGTGATTCAGTTATACCGAATAGTTCTATAACATAACTATATGTACTCCTTCCCCCCAGCTCCACCCAAAATGCCAAGAAGAGATGTAAGATTGGAGCAGGACTAAATAAAACACTTGCTCAATGGCCAGACACTATGACATGCTACATCAGACTAGTCTGACAACACGTGACCAGTCAAGGACTGACTGGCCCAAGAGGCATTTGACCAGACAAGTGCATTTTTTGGCCAGGCATTGTCAATTATTGACCTGCCATTATTTTCATGTAGGATAGGGAAAATCCAGAAGTTGGAAGTTTAAAATCCCTTTTACTTTTAAATAAACGGAGATTTTTTGGAACTAAGCAAAGAATTTCCAAGGACATTACTTTTTAAGTTAACAGGTCTAAAAAACTCTCACTAAAACCATAAATTACTATGGCAATCAATTCCCCATTCTTGAGGCTACCTCACTACTCTCCATAGATAAAGTGTGCACAATGGTATCCCCAGATGTTGGCGTTGATCCTGCGGTTATTGCATGAGGTGAACCAACGATTTGGTACTCTCCTCTTGAAACAATTCCGTTGTGTACCATAGTTGGCAATGGAGAACCATGGACGGCAGGACTCTCTTGTTGTATAGTACTCAGTATAGGAACAAGGTTTTCTGTCGAGGTAGTTTCAACATGGGTTGTGGCAGTAGATGATGTGTTTGTTGTTTGTGCCGACTGGGTGCTTGTGGAGTTGGTAACAGTATAAATTGTACTTGCACTTGGAGGTAAGGTTACAATTACAATATTTCCCTGTTGTAGGGTGAAATTTGGAGGTAATTGCACAGCCCCAGGGATAATACCACCAGAGTTAACTAGCGTCTGCACTGGTATGCTACCTGTTGGCACAGTCTGTACAACTGCATTAGGTATGACTTGACCTGCTAAGTGATTGGGGGCAATTGGAACAGTCCTATACTGTTGAACAAGAGATTCTGGCCAAAATCTTTGAGCAGGACGACTCTGGATTTTTGATTTCTTTGCCTTGTGGGCATCTGGGTTCCCCGCATCGAGCATAGGTTGTAAGATACGCCTTCTTGCATTGATAAACCTTTCATTTTGATGACATAAAAACCTTTTAATAACCATCCATTTAAAAACAATAAAAACAATACACAACTTTTTGCTCACTACCACACTCAACTATAAAAAAAAGATTTATTCTTACTTCAAAAGAAATTGACAGCATCAACTCTATAATATGAGACTAGAGTGCATGCAGTAAAAACCATGAAATAAAAACAAAGTTGATCCTAACAGATAGTAGCTATTTAGTGACTAATAGTTGCTAGCACTCAACCAGAACATTCATTACGCTAAGCCAAATACACAGGAGACCATTTTTGTCTTTTGTGTAATGAATGTATAATGTTCTGGTTGAGGGAGGTTGATTCAATAGAGAGACCTAACAAACTCTATTCATGTGTGCCGATCAAGTCCAGGAATCAAACCCAAGACCCCAGAGGTAAGTGAGCTACATACTGCTATGCCATTCATGATTACACTTTCTTAAATGGGGCTTAACCAGTACAAATGAGTCCATAGACCAGAATTACAGCAACATATACTAGACAAGAAATAGGGCTATTGAAGGACAATATTGTTATCATATAAGTTACCTCTATTTTCATAAACATGCAACAGTCTGTAGTTGCAATTTGCCCATTGGAATTTGGTTTTTCATTGCCGCAAGTCAAAAATATGAAACGTACCAACTGATTAGTTTTGATTGACAGCAGCAAAAACAAATTTCAGCGTGCAGCTCACAGCTACTGAGTTCACATGTTTATGGAAATAGCAGGAAACTCTAGAATTTCCAGTCTTCACTCACCAGTTATTGACTTGAAGAATAGTCAAGTTGGTCTGTAATGAAATGCTTCTTTTTTCATCTTCTGTAGGGTAAGGATGCTATAGAGACCAAGATAAATATTAAGGGCAACAAAAAATGTAACCAATTATTTTACGTCAAACATGCATGAAGTGATTGCTCAGTCTCCTAAGTCAAGAGTAATTTTTTAATGGTGATATGAAATCGTTTTTTATAACATAGCCACAGTATAAAGTGCGCTCTGATTGGTTAATTAGCGTGCGAAAGCATGCATCCAAAAACCGATGGTGCATGCTGTCCTCAATTGAGTAGCACGCGCTATGTAACGCATACTTCATTAGAAAAAAATTTTGAATTTTTCTCGATTAACGAAGACTTTTTCTGCTTTTGCTATGTCATAAAAGAAATGGTTCATAAGTAACATGCAACTATCGAGTTATGGATGCACTTGCATTTGGGAGGTTCTTTAAACACTAGCTAGAGTAGCACTTGGCTATCGCCTTGTGTGACTCATTATGCTTCTTTCATGCTCAGCAACCTCCYGCATGCATCCATAACTTGATAGATTTACACTACTTATGAACCTTTACTTTATTGTATGTTCCAGGGCTAAAACTAATAGCCGTCAATGGACAGCATCTGGCCAGATATCATTATGGAACTGTTCCCTTTTTATCAGGGGTTAGAGGGACAGTGGGATTGACTTAGTAACTCATACATGAATATATAAATATACATATATTATATATTTTTTATGAATTGGACCCTTCCTTGTTTTCCATCTTTGTTTATCATAAAAGTGCAGTGCTAATCTGATTCTGTGACTGCCCCCCCCCCCCCTCTTGAAACCTTATTTTTTAATGACCTCTTCAAATCCTACCTCCTCCCCTCCCCAGTAAAAAATAAACAGTCCCTACGGCAAGTACATTGACTGGTCACATGTTGACTAGTGCAACATAGCTAGTCATCATGTATGGCCATTGTTTCAGGGTAATGACCAAATTTGAAGGAAATTTCAAGGACTAGATCATAAAATAACTTACCATTAAATGTGAGAAGAGCCATTGTTTCATGATATTTGTTGCCTGTTTGGGTAGAACTCCTCTTTTTGTCTTTTTTCTCTCAGTTGTTTCAGTAGGAGAGTCAAGATCAAGACTTGGGAGTGGAATYGGAGTCGGCACAGTGATCTCTAATGGGGATCCAGCACTGATGGAGCTTGTCGGAGTGGTAGGTGAGGTAGTTACAGGTGTTGTTGCTGTGGAGCACATGCTGTATGGAGTTTCTGTCGAAGGCAACTGCGTTAACACAAATGTTTGTCCAGTTTGAGAGACAGGTGATGGTGGGGTAGGAGTAGAGGAGACGGCAATGGGCTGAGTTGGTTGTTGCTGGATGTATGCTGTGCTGGCAACTTGTTGAACAGGTTGGCTTATAACGCTACCACTTGGTGGTGTTGCTATGGCTACAGAACAGGGGGTACCAGAAGTTGTGAAGAAAGTAACTTGTTGGTCTGTTAGTTGTGGCGTCTGTGGCTGTTGCTGCTGCTGCTGCGGCTGTTGTAGAAATATGTGTTGAGGTGGAGACGTTGTTGGAAGTTGCTGGAATGCCTGGGAAATACCACTAGGAATCTGTGTGGGATACGAGCTTGACAAGGGGCTTCGAAGTAGGTTGTCACTCTGCATTTTCCCCTTTAGACAGGCAATATATCTCTGGCAAAAATCCTTACATAATTCATTCACTTTTTCAAGTTCCAACAGATGAATACGAAACACTTGGATAGCCTTTACGATCTGATAAAATAGATAAATAATAAATCTTTATTTTACATAGTGATATTTGAGTGGTTGCAAAGTCTCTCCCGCCAAACGCTAATGCTTAGGTATATAACACTCCACACTAACTACCACTACATTTAATGTTCTAAGCACACAACTCCCAACTCTCATGTTGATTTTTGTAGGAGGCTCACATCTTGGTCATCTTGTGTGATGTCTGTAGATGTTATAATTTTTTCATTTTAGCAATTTATATTATATTATCGAAGCGCTTCATTTGTCAGTGGAACAATAGACACTACTGACAAAAAATATCATTGGTAGAATTTCCAAAAAAAAATCACATGATTAGATAGTAGGTTGGATTTTTTTTACTGATACAACAGTGGAAATGAGCTTACTGGGAACCCTGTGGTACATTTGGGAATGAAAAAAATATTAGGGTCAGCAAAAGTCTTCAAGAAAATTAGAATCGGTTGYGTAACAGGAAACACACTTATTTGTTTTGTTTGGCCTTATATAGACAAACAATATGGCAGATTTTACGAAAAGTATGTAATTTCAGACCCAAGAATTAATATCATTATACATGTGGATCTGCATACTACTTTGAGAATGTGATGACGAAATTTATCGTCAATAAGAGGACAGACACATAAAAAACTGATGTCTATTTGTTTTTTACAATAACAAAAACGATAAAAACTTCTCATTTTTAGCGATCAAAACTACCAACAGAAAGAGCACATGCTCGTTGATGTCAGCTTTATTTGTCTGTCCTCTTATTGATGATAAAAAATAACCAATCAGCATGCGAGAAATTTGTAAGTTATCATAAAAAGTAAGTTAGAGACCACAGTGACAAGAAAATATCAAGTCACAGAAATTGCAGTCATAACAATGATGAAGTTAAGAATAATGATGTTAAAGATGATAATGATGGAGGTGGTAAAGACCATCTTGATGTGTCCTATCATCATAAAACCAAGAAAAATAAAATGCAACCACATCAACAAAACTTCAAAGACAGAGTCTAATAATTAAGGTACCAGTACAATCACTCATTATTAGCTACTTCATAAAATTCTCTGCTGGATAATCCTTTGGCTACTCATTTTTTAATTTTCTCATAAACAAAAGCTCAGAAATGTTATTAAAGTTATGTTTTGAGGTATTGAAGAAAAAACAATATTGTTTATATTTGTTCATTGGAGCATAGCACAAGAATAACCTTATTATGACTATGGATGAACAAATCTTCATGGCGAACATGTTATGGTTTACTAAATTTGTCTAAATGGTAAGAAAACGTGAAAACAAGCATAAAACCAATGGAGAAAGCTGTTTACAGACTATAGGCTCATAAAGATATAAATAAAGCATATGTCATCTGGAGAAAGCATATAAGTTATTCTTTCAATTCCTTTAACAGTAATATGTTGTCTCACACTAGATAAAGACCTGATTACTAATGATTGGACAAAATAAAAAGCATACTAAAAACAAAATASAGGAAAATGTTTTGGTATATCATTATAATTATTATCAGGTTATCATAAACCAAAGGAAGGATATCAGTCACTTTTTAAACAAATCAAGCACTGTAAATATCCTTGACAAAAGATTTTTTAACTTTTACATCTAGCAGAAAAAAGATTTGTAAATAAATAATTTCTAGACGTCTAAAGATATTTTTGCATGAATTATTAGTTCAAAATCTGTTCTGCTCTTGAGTTACATAGGATGACAAAAGAAAGGTATAAGTTATATTGGCATATGTTTCCTTCATCAAACAAAAGGATATTTTTTATTTTATTTAGCATACATATTGTGATATTTTATAAATAGATATCCTAACTTACACTACTTCAGACTTTTCTTTTAAATTCTCATTTCAAAAACTAATTATTGTATAATAGAATAATAGACTTCTTTAAACACTATTCATAAAAGCAAGGGGCAAGTTCTTCCCTTGCGTTTAATTCATGATCAATTATAATTTAAAGTATATTATCTTACGTAGGTTTCATTATTGTGGATGTTTTGCATCAACCACAGGTAATACTTTATTCTTAACCAAGCTTAAGGAGATAATTCTCCATTATCAGGGTATTGAAAAATAATAATAGCGGAGCACGAGGTAAATTCAAAAAACACAGAACACAGTAACTTTAAGCTTGGTTAAAAATAAAGTATTACGTGGTAGATACAAAACATCTATAATGATCAATTATGTTAGCTTCAGATAGTAATATGTTAGAGATTTATTTTCTCAAAATAAGAACAACACAAAAACCATTGATTCTACAAATCACTTGAAATAGGAGAGTTTTTCATCATATATATTGCAAGACCTGAAATTGAAAAAAGAGTAAAAATAGTATGGGGTTTTAAATCCTACACTTTTATTCCTGAATCCGGTTTTCAGTTTTGAATCAAGAAGTTACAATCTGGATGAAATATGAACACCACTAAGAATGACGAAGGTTTCTTTTMTTAGAACAATATATAAACACCTGGATAGAAGACCAACTTCTTTATACATACAATGCAGACTATATATAGTTACACTTTTTTTAATAAAATAAATTCTATTCTAAATCTACTCTCATTCCAACAGGATAGACATATTGTTTTCTACAATATTACTGGAGCTATAATATTCTAATATTCTAGCAATAACGTTTAGTAGGTTCTAAGTGGGTTTTTTGGTACAATATTTAAAGTTATACTATTGCTATTAAATAAGTACAAATTTTTGAACAATGAATGGATTCAAACTCGAAGTTGAAAGAACGTTCCCACATTTTATGGCTTTTCTCAGACCTTCATCAATAGAAGCTTTAAAGTAGAAACAAAATAGCTGCTCAAACAAAGAAAACAATTCTTAGTTTTATGTCCTGCTAAGCGAAAAAATATAATTTGATTATCAAATATTAACACATTACCTAATCAGCGARCTTGATGGATAGGTTTTATATGTTACTTCAAAATACCATCAAATATATTCAGAAAATAAATAACATCATTACCTTCACAACCCATTTATTTTTGTCCAGTGTTTCTGAATGCAAAATAGATGTCACAATGATATGAGCGACATCTAATATGAAAGCTGAACTGATAACTCTGACGCCAACTTATCAGCTTACAGACAAATACAAAATTTTGAATTCTAGTGTTTGTAGAGGTCAAATTTTCTCTTAGAATATCTACTAAAATACTTAGGAGATAAAAAGCTACAAGCACCAAAATATTGCTTGAGCCAGCATGAAATATTAATGGCTTTGTTCAAAATAATAATTAATTTTTGCTCATTAGGAGAAAAAGATCTTTGCCTTCTTGCCCAAAAAGCTAGTAATTAGAAATAGGTCTGATTGTGTGACCAGCTGTAAGAAAGATAAAAAATGAATTGATCCTTAAAAAGACTCATAATGTTTAGAATTAACTCTATTTTAAGAATATAGCTTCTTTGAGGTTGAATTTTTTGAAACACTCGGTAACCAAAAGTTAGTATTCAAAATATTTTTCAAAAACAAAATGGAATTGATAAACAAAACCTACATTATGAGAAATTATAGGGTCTCAATTCACCTGTTGATTATAATAATGGTATATTTTTTAATTATAGATCTTATAATGGTGGCTACATATATTGGGGTTATTTTTACCTTATATTAATTTTTCTAAACAGAAACTTGAATATATATTTCTATAAATCATGAAGAATAATTTGAAAAGAAACATTTTGGTGGAGTTATAAATCTATTTTTTTAAATATTGTGGTGCTAAATTGTTGGCTAAATTCAAAACTACATAAAGATGATATTATTCTAAAAATCGGAGACTAATGTAGATGGAAAAGCTGAGCAACAGTTTAGAACAACATGAAAAGGATTCGTGTCATGACTTGTTAAAAAAACATAAATTTTGGAATCCGATTTAAAATTCTCGTGATGTTTCTACATCTCGTATAATAGCAGTATATTGATTGCAGTTGATGTACAATGTCATCAAGATTAGAGATCTTTTTTTTCACGCCAAATGTGAGGGCATAAAAGACAACGAATCCCAGACTCTCTATCACTATACGTTCATTAAAACTCGAATTGGCGCTATTTACCGTTAAGAAAAACTTAACAAAAGTGATAGGACTGAAAGGATTTAAGAATCAGAACTGATTGATGCGGCTTTTAAGCCACGATTTTCTTGAAACCACAACAGCAAACAACAAACAAGGTTACAAAAATCATACCCAACCATCAGACTAGCAGGTCTTGTATGCTTTTTCACCTCTTCTTCGACACAAGTCTGAGAAATACAACAACGAATATGCCTATATATACTCTAAAATGGCTTACCAAATTGTCCAGCTCTTGGTCATCAGTAAAGAAAGGTTTCCCGTCTCTGTTGTGCTGTATAATATAATTCTTTATGTCGTTGTCAAAGGTAACCGAAGTCGGACATTCACTGGTTTGAGTTGCAATCTCGCACTTCTCAAGCAACATGGCTAGTAACGGGAACAAGGGATGTCTATAAATGGCATTTTTCTCCGAGTCAAGACTTTGTACAGCTAAATGAGCTTCTTCATAAGCCGGTGGCAATTTGTCCTGGGATTGCTGAAGGCCTGTAAAGGGTGAAGTGACGGCGATATTCGGCTGAGCAGAGAGCATACCACTATGAGAAGAAACACGATTGGTGATAGCCGCCTCCATATGGCCTTTACAGCTCCTAAAGTACAACAAAAAATACAGATTACCTCGTCGTTTCTCCACCACATTTTACAATATTCGTCACACCAACAAGACCAAGTGCAATGTTAATTGTTTCAGTGTTAATGTGTTTGTATGGGAGTTTGAAAGACTCACAATTGGTCGTTATTAAAAAGAACTGGCCGCGCGCGGTCGACATTGACTGGCAGTGCCTCGTGTCACTCCAAAGAAATAACACAGCGAACCTATCTGGGTCACGTGATCCAATGGGCCGACGCTCAACAACACTGAACAACCACTGCAGTTTCTAATGGCTTGCTTTATCGAACCTTAAACTTTATTTATCGATCTCTCCATCTCACTTAATCCTCATACTGTGTAAATATGTTGTGATCTTTGAGTATACTTGAATGGGACGGTGAGATTTGAATGGTGAATAAGAGTTATTAGGATTGGAATGGCGTGACAGGAGAGTCACGTGATATAGTACAGCAGTTTGAAGCTGGGTTGAAGTTAATTTGAGTTTTCGGCGCGTTGAATTATTTTCCGCATTCTTAAACTTTTCGGCGGAAAACATTTCTATCCAGCTTTAGAGAGAGAAAAAATCTTTTCTTTAATGTTTTTAAAGTCTTTTTCCTCTGCTGTTTTTAATATTTAATATTTCTATCATTTACTTCTTTATTTTCCTTCAAAACAAAGCTGGTTTCAGTTGTTTTGACACATATTCTGTCAAGACTAATTACAATGTTTTGATAAAATACGAAATTGTAATTACGCTTTTTCAAAGTTTTTYTTTCTTCTTATACTGAAGGCTGTATAAATGGGTTTTTTTAGATTTGTTCTTGACGCGGTTCAGTAAAAATAAATCTTGTCTTTTCCATTAGAAACTATCATTTAAAGGGAACTCTTGCTTCCTCGTTCCATTTCCGTGCTTCTACTTTTCCTAATACAACGTTCTCCTATTTGCTTTATTAATCACTTGGCGAAAATTGAGCTTTGAACAGGAAATGTAGATGATAGTAGATTAGATCAGAAGCATTATCAYCTCTACGGGGTAGATACACGGAATACTGTACCAGAAGTCGTGATGATCTGTGAATCTTATTTTCTCTTTAATGTACCATCCTTTCTCAGTTTCTTTCTTTCATCAGCTCTATCTTTCTTTTTGATTCCCTCCTCTCTTTCTTTCTTTCTATTAACTTTTATTTCCGGAAAATCCTGCAAAGGTGCTTTGAACCCTGGAGACTTCGCTTTGAATGAATCCGACTCGATCACTTACAAATGTACGATTAGAAGCCAAGGGCGGTTTCTCCGTTCAAGGGGAGGGCTTTTAGATATAATCACACTCTTAATGATGCCTTATAGATGTAGAAGAGCATTTGATAAATGAACACAGGAATATCTTAATGGGAAAAGAGAAAAGAATGGGCTCAGGAAAACACTTAAAATTTTGATTTCAAAGAGCTTTCACGTCAAAAGGTTTCTGAATTAAATAAATAAGAGCTACAACTGATAACAGTTTCTTACAGATTTAATTCAAATTTTAATTAGTGAATGAGAGGAATTATAAATATTGCATTGAAGAGAAATTATATTTTTTTGTACATCATTTTCAGAGATATTTTAGTATAAATACAAAAAGTATCAATAAAAACTTTCAGTACAAACTCACAGGAAATTTTGCTTAAAAATTAGTACTAATATGTCATAAAACCACATGATATGGAAACAGCTCAGTTCACTATTAATTTAAAGCACATCAATCCCAGTTACCCCCCTATAAGATATTAATATCTTGGCACTATGATTGAAAACCTAAACAAGAAAGCCTCCTTGGTTGAGCTGTTGTACGTCTCAAAGAGCCAAGAATACAGATTATTTAATTCTATTACTTCACTGGCTTGTCATTTCTCAACTTTAACGACTGAAAACAATTCCTGTGTTGAGATAATTAAAGAAATTATATCATTTATTAACACAATTTTAATATTTTTGTGAAGAATTCGATTGTTTTATYTTTGTCATTCGATGTTTTGGTCTTCGCGATTCTAAATTTTCAAGTATACAAAAAATTACCTACATTGAGACAAAACATTTAGTGTCTCATCTCATTGCCATTATTTTTCATCGTTCCACTTTCTTTAAATGGATAGGAAGGAAAAGGGGCGGAGGTTTGAAGTTTGGAAAGACTCGTGAATGATAATTGAATACTTTATATGATATTTTTAAGTAAAACACACGACCACAAAAAGGAAGGAAGAAAGACGATACTGTAAATAAATCATATGCGATACCCATTACCCAACTTTTCCACTACCCAAAGACATTTGAAAAAACTTATGAAAATATTTTAGACGACAAAAATAACGAAATTTTGATAAGTATTGCCTTGCCCTGCTGTCGAAAGCGGAGGGAAACCGCTATCCATACCAAGGTCCTGAATTTCCCATCACTCTTAGAAGGAGATAAGAATGGAGTGGGCTACCTGTGGTCGGACGGATGGTTAGTAAACAGGAGCTTGGTCTACTCGATCTAGTTTTCTTTTTCCCATCAGCGTTCTTTTCAGACAAGCCGTACACAAATCACAGCCATCCTTCGCCTCTTGACACACCAGGTTGAAGTTCAGAAACCCGTGGGGGAGGTCCTCGAGGATATAGATCTCGACATCTTTACCGAGGGAGCGTAGACGTCGAGCAAACTCTATGGAATCGTCCAGGAGTGGATCCAAAGAACAAGCCTGTTCGTAAACAAAGGATATATATTATTTAAGATGTGCAGTTTTTCGGCTTCCGTCAAACATAGCCTGCGTAGCAGCGCTTTGGGGAGTTCCCTTCTTTACCTCCTCACCAGTCCCAGTCCCCCTCCCCCTCCCCAAAGCGCCGCTACGCAGGCTAGTCATGAATCAAATTCCCAACGGTCTGAATTAGTATTTGCTTTCATTAACGGAAACTAAAAAACCCAGAGGTCGTGGTCTTGCGTTAATCGCGTAATTATGAAAATTGGTATAATGGAAGTCGGCACTCTTTATGATCGTGGGTTTGACCTTACGGTAGCCAATTAGATCTGAATGGTCTAGTTATGAACTTCTGCTACAAGTCAATAGCCCATTAGGCCGAAGGTCTCTTTTGTATCCTTTCAGTATCTAGATTCCCATTTTGAAAATTTCGCCCTTTGCATTCAATGACATCAATAACATATAAAAATGTATTTTTAGCCTACATAGCGACGCATGGGGATTGGGAAGGACCTTTCAATTCCCAATCCCCTTGCGCGGCCAGTACCTAGGTCACGTCATTGTTCTTACCACGATGTCCATCGGAGGTAAAGTAGCCAGCATTTCATCTGGAGCAACTAGAGGCGACATGTAAGGGTTCTTGGCTATAGGTAGAGACACTTCAGACATTGACCTTCGGTAATGTAATCCATGCTCCTTCTCCTCTATACCCTCGTCCTCCGTCATGGGCGGTGTCCCTATCCGAAGGCTTGGCTCCTCAATGGGTATTATCATCGTTTCTCCAGTCGGAGAGAGACTGGGATCAACAACGTTAACCACGTGACATTCATCGTTGCTTCGAGTGTACTGCATTTCCTGGTGCGCATAGTTCTCGCCTAGTGGAACATGGAATTTTGGAGTAACATCGAGTTTCAAAAGCCGTCGTCTGTCGCTTTGGGCGTTGCTTTGTTGTGCGCAGTGCTTCCCGTCGGAACAAGAAACTGTACTATCGTCCCTTTGTTGTGTGCAATGCTTCCCGTCGGAACAAGAAGCTGTGCTATAGTACCTTTGTTGTGTGCAGTGCTTCCCGTCGGAACAAGATACTATAACGTCCCTTAACTTCAAATCTTGGATCGATATGTCTTTTGTATTTTCATCTTGCTCGAACCCATCATTTTCTCGAACCAAGTTCTCATCATTGTTGGTAGCTACAAACGTTTCTAAGTTCTCCTCCTTAAAAGAATAGTACTTTTCTCCCTCAGGTGAAGACCCTTCTTGAATAGGACTCCCATAGCTCGGTAGCCCATTTTGGACATAGCTACAATTTCCCATCGATAAATCCTTCGGTACTGAATCTGACGTTGGTGGACTAGGGAAACTTTGAAAGCTCTTACTACCCGGCCCTGAAGGGTTCTCAAACTCTTCCGAAGGACTAAAATCAGATTTCCGATTGGAGTCTTTGCCACGTTTAAATTTACTAAGAAAAGAGCCCTTTCTGATAATGTCCACTGGGGGCGTTGGAGCACTACCTTGTTTCGCAATTAACGAGGAATTTGCTGGCGTTTTCATACACTCGTCAAAAGGGGATTTCCCCATTCCAGCATACGCACCAAGACAGGCTGACAATATCCCAGTAGGCAACAGAGGGTCCATTAAACTCATGAGTCTGGATGGTGATGGAACGTATTGTACATTCAACGGCGGGTACGCGGCCAAAAGGGAGTCTGGTCTGCGGATTCCATATTCTGCTGCGCGCATGCAAACAGCTACACCAAGRTTTCCCCCTAAAATTTCAAGAAATTCAGTGAATCATTAGTTCGGAGGAGAGTCCAAGAAATGGGCCAGCCTGGAAAAGAGTTTTACTTTGTCTGTAACCCAATAAAGAGTTATTATTATCAATATTAAAGAAATAGAAAACGCGCGCGCGTGCAGTGTGCAGTTATAAAGCACGCGGGGGTTGGCAGAACACGAGAGAAGTGTTAGGAGAAGCACGACACTTCTCTAGTTTTCTATCAATCCCCAAGTGCTTTATAACTCCACACAGCACAGCAAGCAAAATTTTATAAAATACAAATAACAAAAACCGTTATTTTGAATAGGAATGATGCAACTGGAAGTGTGCACRCATGCTGTGTGCTCTCAATAAAGCACGCGCTCCCAACCAATCAGAACGAGACATTTAGAACAGTTATTTTATAATATGAAATAGTCTTATTCCCGAGAGAATGACACGTAGTGCGAATTGGGAAAAAATTACTTCTGTTGCATGGTCACGGTAAAGAATTGACAGTGACCTTTGAACCAATCACAGCACGTGCTATATCACTGTTCATCCAATGAAAATGCTTGAACACGTTACCGCCACGATCACGAAACAGCACGTCCGTACTATACTGTGAGGTTTTCACAGTCTTGTGAAAAGCTCATATTGGACATGTTCTATGAATACACATTTCCATCATTTAATTTTGTAACGTTTGAAAGCCTCACCGAGTTCAAACTAACCTGCAGAATCTCCAGCAATGCAGACGTACTCGGCAGTTGTTCCTAGCTTGTCTAGATTCTTTAAAGCCCATGCATACGCGAAGAAACACTCTTCCAGAGCTCTTGGGAACGGTGCTTCAGGGGCGAGTGAATAATCCACTGATAATATTGGGACATTCAAGTCACGGGCCCAGACTCGCAAGTACATCTGAAACAATAATCAAAAATAACGTGTGATGGCATTCATCACTTATACCTTTATTAGATACATTTATGGAAAGGTAGAAAGCAATGTGAAAGGACTCATAGAGCGCATGTGGGAAATAATCCTAAATTAATATTTATCCATTGGATAGTGCTATCCACACTATCCACTGCTAACCAGGGGATGTTGTGCGATAGTGGTAAAAGTCAGAAGAGACTCCAGGGTGGGATAGATAGTACAAAAAACTGGGCCAGTGCAATGTTCCCAGTGTTTATTCAGACCTCAATGAATCCAAGAATTAAATTTCTTCTATAGGAATAGACATTTTTTGAGTTCCAAATTACTGCTGTGTTCCTAGATTACAGACTCATTTACTCAGGGTTAGCCTTGAATCAGTGTCTAAATATTCACAAATACCAATGTTAAAGTAAAGAATGTACAACTTTAACAATACAAACACTTTGAAATTCCAGGGACCTTTACTGGAACACGTGAATATTCTGCACAAAGTCGAAGCTTACCCTACTGAGCAACTGAGAACTCGAAACTGGAGTATTGAAAGAGATTGGTTGGATCACATAAAGCAGGTGTCAGAGATTACCTCATGTGACTTGGAGGACTGTGAGACAAAACCACCTCCATGAATATGAAGCACAAGACCTTTAGACTTTGGTTTCATTTTAGGACTATATTGATTATTGTTAGAGCCATCCTTTGACTACAAAATTGCAATAAATATTAACATCATTAGTATTAATATTACATCACATCACACATAAGTTAAAAAATTTTTTCAATTTTTATAAAAACTTACAATCACTGGGTTACTTACAGAAAATTGGAATAATCTTAG